CTATACAAATTTATACTTTATAAGTTAATTATTTAGTATTATACATTTAGTTTAGTTGAAAACTTTTCACAATTCACATTTACTAAAAGTAATTCAGTGTGGAGTTTTCTCTGAGTAAAACAGATTTAGCATTATATTCTTCTTTTTTTAAAAATAAACTATAGAAATTAACAAATTGCAGTCAAAAGTATTCGTTCATGATCGGTTCTTAATATTCAATATAAGATCAAATAAATCAATAAATACTTCATTTGCAAAATGTCATACAATTGTCTCAAACTTGACTGTTCCTTTTGTAAATATCATTTAATCGTCTCAGATTTCAATGTTCCTACAAAAAGTCTAAGACAACTGACTGATATTTGCAAAAAGGAACAGTAAAGTTTGAGACAATTATTATTTAAACTAAATCACTTGAAATTTGGATACAATAATGATTTATCTTGAAATTTGTACACGTGTTTAAATGAAACAAAATAGGGAAAAGTTTAATTCATTATTGGCTTACTTAATTTTACTCCTAACATCATTAGATATAGACAAAAAGTGGTCAATTAAGATTAATGGGTCCACTAGAAAGCTTGTTGTTTGTTCAAATAGAGGAAAGAAAAACAAAACAAGAATGTTAACTTTTATTGAATGACAATTTAAATTTAGAACATAGTAGATAAATAAAATGAAAAAAAATTGTTGTGATCATAAAGTGTGATCATTGAATTGGAAAGATAGCAACTAATCCTAAAAATAAATACTAACCACAATAGAGTTATATTAACGATTCTTCGTGTTACAAGACTAAACTAATATCTATAGTCAACATGTCAGTCACATAAAGAGTCAATGTATGTCTTAAATAGTTGGATGATAGTCTTTACTAGATTAATATAGTGTATTACTCATAGTGAGTATAGATGAGGGGAGGTTGTAGAGATCGTTTTAGTTTGTAATTTGTATTTGTCGCAAATCGACTTCTGATCATGTACTATTAGAAAGCAGGTTGCAATAAATAGCCATTTCATCACGGCATGAAACAAATTGGAAGTGAATAGCTGCAAGCTCTTAAGAGATAAAACACAAAAACTTCATGGCTTACTATACGCACTCAAATATTAGGCCACTTGGTTGGGATCCAGTGTCACATAATTTCAAAGCCACTCAATTCACCATAGAGCTGGGCGATGTAAGGTGTTAGTTGAAGGTAGTCGACAAGAAACCCTGAACCACCTCCGACTACAATCTTACATCTCATTGAGTCATCTAGACTAGTAGTGATATTGTAACCTGGTCGATAGAATTCGATCTGCATTAAGAAGGACTCGACATACATGACATTTGCCATTACCCATTAACCAATCAATTGTAAAAAGATCGGTGATCATCTGGTGATAACGAGTTTGTCACTCTCGAATTAGTTGAACTCTACCAGTTGAAATTTTCATCTAGAACTTCTAGAACTAGTTTTAAAGTAAATCACTAGTAAGTATGCTTTTATAGTATTATGAAGAAGTTTGATAGAGATTGTTTTTATTTGTAGATAATATTTGGTACAATAATATCACATTATTAACTTGATGACTATGGAGAAACAAATGCACGCTATAATGGTATTAAAAATATAATTAAACTTTATGGAGTCTGCACTCCTAAATAATCTCGAAATCAATTTATGAAAACATACATAAAGGAATAAATAACTTCCATGACAATCAAACCTAGCAAATACCACAACGAAGAGAAATTAAAAATGAGTAATATGGCAAAACAAAAATGACTATCATAGCTCTGTTTATCACAAATTTAGCGAAACCATTTAATAAAAATTTAAAATCTGGGCTTATAAGTTTGATATTTCTGCAGTTACCAAATGACTCTGAAAACTATAAACTACTTATTTTTGGTCATTACAAATAATCTTGATGGAGTTTTGTTCTCTGAGCTGGATGGTTTGGTTGTAATGGTTCCATCGTTCTTCTGAACGACATCATCAGCACAAACTTGAGATAGAAGTCTACTAGCTCAGAGAATAAAACTCCATCAAAATTATCCACTTGAGCTACAACTCTTCTCCACCAGCTCAATTACAAATAATCTTTTAATGATAACTAGTTAGGCATTATAAAATACGTAACCAATTTACTGACTAAAATTTATAGGAATTCGTTTTTAGCACAAACTATTCAGTTGTTCATTCTTCGATTGAAACAAAGTATAGAAGAAACAATATTAGTGAATCATGAAAAGCTGTTTAATCTTCACCATTCTTATATAACTGGCAAACATGAGCTGATTAAATGCGCTTAATATTAGGTTAAATAGTTATATGTGTTCAATCAAAGCTATTGTTATATTGTTAAAACACTCAAGTTTATGTATATATTCACAGAAGTGTTCTGACACAGCTTTTACCAGCAGATATAATTTTGTATTCGGTAATTTTCGAGTAAATTTGGACAGGGCTCAAATGTAGAAGAAAAAGTGGTAAAGCAACGTAATAGCCATTGACTTGTATTAGGCCGAAACCTAGGATTTACCCGAACTTCAGCAATTATACCATCATTTGAAGCTATTTATTTATTAAGCAGTCAGTTGGCATTTAAATGCAATGTTAACGAACTTTTATGCTGTAGTTAGAAAGATATCAAATCAGAAATGATTGAAATCCCATAAATTCATCAAGGACTAAAATTTTTAAGGGGGATTATTAACAGACAACTAGCTTTGTACATCTGCTTTCTTACACATTATAGCTTTGATTGAGATCATGAAACAATTGATGTTAGACCATCACAATTGAAAACCTGGAAGCACTGGACGGCTTCTCGAAGTTAGAACCTTTAAGTTTCACAATACAATCTATACCACAAATACTATACCACTTAACTGATCAGCTGCAATTAGATTATAGTTACATCATATTTCAAATCGACCGTACTTAAATACATGGCTCATTGAATTTCTACTCATGGTTGATTATAAACCCGAAGTAATCTGTGTGCAATTCTTGATTGAGTCATTAGGACAGTGTTGGGGAATCTGAAACCCGTTGTATATTACTGTTTAGTTTTCAACGGTTCCTTTTTAAGTGAATGATATCCTTATGTTTATTTACTTTTATATGACTTATTTCTCTTCATTGAATATTCTTTGTATGACAGTTTAACCTTTTTTAGATTTATAACGAATCCAAATCATCAGTTATTAGTTGTATGTATTATGCTTATGTAAAATTATTCTAGATTATGAAATCATATTCGTGTACAGTCAACTTCTGAATCATTTCAGATAAAAGTATGGTTTCATGCACTTTTTCTATATTCATTACATATCACAATGTTATGTATGAAAATTTCCACTTTCCAATAAAAACAGAATGTTGTCACCTACCATACACACAC